TGGGGCGGGGGGCCCCGCCCGCCCCCGCCGCCGCTGCCCCCGTCGGAAGCGGCGGGCGAGGCGGGCTCGGCGCTGCCACCGGGGGGCGACTCGAACAGCGGGTCCCGGGCGGCGGCGGCGGCGGGCGCGGACGGGGGCGCGGCGGCGGGCGGCGTCCCCAGCCCCGCCGGCCCCGTCCCCAGCCCCGTCGGCCCCGCCTCGCCGCCGGGCTCCGACAGGTCCAGGAAAGCCTGGCGCAGCAGGCCCGCCCCGTCCCCCCCCAGCGAGCATCCCAGGGCGCCGGGGGGCTGCGGAGGCGGCTGCAGGTAGGTGGGTACCGGCAGCCCGCCCGGGGTGCGCGGCGGCCAAAACATGCAGAAGGGCGGGTAGAAGGCGGCGTCCTTCCTGCCCGGCCAGAAGAGCCCCGAGAGCCCGCCGCCCGCCGCCGCCGCCCCGCCGGCCTTGTGCGCGGCCGCCCCGGCGAGGGCGTCGCCGCCGCCGCCCTCCTCCTTCTTGTGGCAGAGCCCGAAGGCGGCGGCGGGGAAGCCGTAGGGGTGCGGGAAGAGCCCGCCGCAGCCAGGGAACTTCTGGAGCATGCCGCCGAAGGAGCCCTTGCTGGGCACCGGGATGACGGGGTAGCTCCGCGGGCTTTTGCCGCCGTGCGCCGCCGCCACCGCCTCCTGCAGCTCCTCGTCCTCCTCGAAGCGCGGCCGCTTCTGGTGCAGGTCGGGCGGGGCGGCCAGGAGATGGGGGCTCAGCAGTCCGCCGCCCACCACCGCCGCCGCCTTCACCGAGCCCAGCGGATGGCAGGCGGCGGGGGCGGCGGCGGCGGGGGCTGGCGGGGCGGGCGGCAGGGCGCGCTTGCGGCTGCCGCCGTTGAACATGGCCTTGACATCCTCCCAGGCGAAGACCAGCTCATCCTGGGGGCTCTTGTCGGTCAGCTTCAGGTGGCGGCGCCAGGAGTTGAAGTTGGCGGCGTCGGGCTGGGTGTACTTGGAGTCCGGGGTGCGGTGGGAGTGGAAGATGAACTTGTTGGGCGAGAAGTACATGCTGCAGTAGCTGCACTTGATGCACTTGGCCCGGGAGCTGTTGTAGCGGGCCGGGATGAAGCTCCCGCGGCATCCCCAGGCGCACTCGTGGGATACGTCGAAGGCGAAGTTATCCGGCAATTTGGGGGGCCGGTTCTCCCCCAAGAAGGACTTGCAGAGCCGCTCCGCCTCCCTCTTGGTGATCATGCCGCAGCGGCGGGAGGAGATGGGCATGGCCCCGGCCCGCCGCAGGATCTCCAGCTGCACCGGCGTGCACTGCACGCAGGTGATGCCCAGGGCCACCCGCCGGTTGTGGATCTCGTTGTAGCTGAAGTTTTTGAGGAGGGTGTTGGAGATCTGCGCCAGGCACAGCCGCTCCTGCCCGTCGATGACCAGGGAGACGATGGGGATGCCGTAGAGGATCACCTGCCCCACCTGGTTGGGCTTCATGGCGGCGTGGCCGGCCCTCGGCTGGTTCATGGGGTCCGGCGGGTAGGCGCTGGTCGGCGACGGCAGCAAGATATCGGTGGGGCCGGGCAGCGGGCTGGTCGCCATCGTCTCAGCGCCGGGGGGGCTGCTCTGCTCTAGCTGCGGGAGGGGATGGGGACAGAGACACAGCGCCGTCAGCCGAGCACTCCCAGGGGTGGGGGCTCCCCGCCGCACGCACTGCCCCGTCCTGCCCCCGCTCCTCCGGTCTGCCGGCGTGGGGAGGCGCTACCCGTGGGGAGGTTTGCTCAACGACCCCGACTCCCCCAAATGTCCTCCGTCCCCACCGGGGGTGTCCCCGGAGCTGTCCGCCCCCGCGCATCCCGGCTCTCCGACGCGCGCATCCCACCGCGGGTGTGGAGATGACGGTACACGGGCGAACCGTCCACGCTTGGAAGAATCCCCGACCCACGGGCGATTCCACCCCAAACACGCATTAGAGACGCGTGTCCGTCTCCCCGTCCTGGAAACCCGCCGCCACCCGGGAGGACTCCGCGCGGAGCCTCCGCGGGCACACGGCGACCGAGGTGGGGTCCCCTCTCCTCACGCCCCGGGATGGGGAAAGCACGGCAGAGAGGAACGGAAAAAACCCCAAAGTTTCGGTGCTCCCCGCCGCTGCCCGGGCATCCTCCCTCCCCGCCCGTTACCTCCGCGGCCGCCCTCCAGCAGTGCCGCCGCCAGACCTTCCTCCTCCTCCTCCTCCTCGTCCTCCAGCAGCCGCCGGGAGGGAGGGAAGCGCATCCCCGCTCCCGCCGCCGCGGAGCCGCGCGGCCGGACAGAGCCCCCCGCCCCCGGTGCGGCGGCCCCCGTGGGCGCACTGACGTCAGCGGCCCGGGGGGGCGGACGGGGCCGGACCCACCGCACGGCCCCCCCCGGACGGTGGGTGGTGAGCGGGGCTGGGGGCGGCTCCCCCATCCCTCTCGTCCTCCCTCTCTCCCTCCCCGCACCGGGAGGGGATGCGGGCGCCCCGTCGGGGCCCGGCCTCCCGCCGCCGCCCCCCGAGCGCTGCCCCGCTCCGCGCACGGTTTCCCGGCAAGAGGCCGGAACGGTGGAAGGTGGAAGGCGCTTTGGCTTTTTTTTTATTATTATTTTATTTTTATTTTTTTATTTTTGCCTTTTTTCGCCTTTCCCTCCTCCCTCCGCCCCTTCACGGTCTGAGACAAATCGCTTCCAAGAAACTGAATATTCTCCTTATGTACCCCGCGTCTTTTAAGAAACGGTATTTTTTTAAGAGATCGGGAGAAATTACAGGGTAGGGGAGGAGAAAGGGAGAAAAAGTTGATTACTCGCCAGAACCGTGTCCTCACGAGCACGGACATCTCCCGTGTCCTCAGTGCCATTTCCAAATACACGGGAGTCATTCACTAGAACCACTTTCACAAGCACCTGGACCCACGTTCTCGCTCCCACAAACACCAATACGGCTCAAATATGTTCTGCTTGGCTTTTTTTAACTTCTCCCCCTTCCCCTCAAAAGGTTTATGCCCCCAGCTAAGGAAGAAAACAAACAAAAAAAACCCCCAGCAAATAGACTGCAGCACCGTAGGGGTTTCTGCTTTTTTTTTTTTTTTTTTTTTTTTTTTTTAAAGTGAATACAGTGAACTGAAAATGTACATTTTTTTTACACGATTCACCTCCTAAAGGTTGTGGGTCCCAGCTGCCTTTCTGCGCAGCGCTGGGAGAGGACGGGGCGACCCCGCAGCGACTCCCGCCCCAAGGCAGAAGGCCAATACTGCTCAATGCTGCTGCTTTCCAGGGAGGAAAGCTGCAGAAAAACGGCTAAAACTCGGGAAAATTAAAAACTCATTCCTAGCCAAAACTGGGAGATAACTGGACCACCAAGAGTTTCCTAATACCCTTCTGATTTATTTTCCTGTCACAAAAATATTTGTATCTCGCTTTTTCTCTCCATGCACATGACCAGTACTTGGTATTTTTGTTCATTTAGCGACGTAAACTTGGGGATTTTTTTTTGTTATTGTTGTTGTTTCTGTTTTTTCTCTCGGGCATCATAGATCCAGATGGAAATCTCTACATCATCCTTTCGCAGAACATCCACACTAAAGCTCACACCTTGTCTCCTCTATCCGAGTATTGCGCGGGTCCTCGCTAAATAAAATAATAATAATAATAATAATAATAATAATAATAATAATAATAATAATAATAATAATAATAATAATAATAATAATAAACATCTCTCCTTATTACCTCTGTCACTTCTTATTAAACCTTGCTCTTCCCTGTCTCGCAACTGTCATAGGGAGACTTCCCCCTTTCCCCTCCCTCCTACTTTTTCCCGATCCTGTTTTGCACGGAGCCTGCTGCTTTCGTGTGAGCAATGGCTATAAGCCTCACATTGGTGACATTTTAATCAATGCTTCCTAGCCAGACTGACATGAATTTTACACTTCAAAACTCTCCTCCGTCAGCTAATTGATTCAAATTGTTTTATTGGTTAAACCCGTGTCACACATTGTATGATCTATTACCACGCCTCGGAGAAAATCTCCCCTCCTGTCTTGGCTCCCAGGTCGGCACCAGGAGGGTCGGGGGGTTTTAGGGAGAAGCCGCTTGCTCCTGCGGATGCTCAGTGCCTGCATCCCCGCAGCGGCCAGACCTCTCCCCTCTCTCGTGGTCACCTCGGCTTTTCCCCGACAGCTCCCGGGAGCACCGGGGATGGGCAACTTCGCCCCAGGCTCTGAGCCCGGCGCTGGAAGAGGACGAGAAACGGTTGCAGGAGGCGAAAGGGATGAGAGGGTTTTGCAAAACACCTTCAGCGAAGGGAGAGGCGGAAAACTCAGGCTCGGGACAGGGTCATCGCTAGCCAGCGATTACGTTGTATTTTTTGGTGACTAAACGAAAAATAAAATTAAACTGCTTTATTATTATTCCTTTTTGTCACCTGCTCGGTGCTCTTGACCCTCCTGAATTCTGTTGTAAAAACGGAGTAGCTTCCTCCATTCCCTTTAAAGAGAAAACTCAAACCCACGGGTCGGGATGTCTTAGTTCCCGCGGAGGGAGGAAGTGCAAGGGCCACCGAATTTGGGACAGAGACTGACCCACACCAGCACAGTGGAGAAGCGGGGCAAGAATGCACCATTCCCTACTTTTTCTGACTTAAGCCTGTTGGGAAACCTCACGGGGTAGCACAACCTCACTACGGGCACGGCGAGGGTGGTTTGGCAGAGAAAGGCTGGCCCACGCAGCGGCCGGGAGGATCCCGCAGGTGTCCCCAGGCGGGCGAGGCCCGGCGGGGCTGCTCCGGCCGCCGCCGATCCCACCGGGGTCTCCGCGGGTCGGATGAATCCCACCCTGACCACGACGAGGGACGGAAGGGAATCCCCGCTGGAGGTGGGGTGTCCACACTCCCCCTCATGGGTAGGTGCAGATCTGGGCTCCTGTCCTGATGGCGACCCCAATTTCCCCCTCTCGTTTCGTTGTTTGCTGTTGCCGGTTGGCTTGGAGTCCCCTCTCAACAAAGGTGTGGAAAAGGTGGACAGGCTTCTCACAGAAGCCTGGCAGGGCTGAGCAGGAGTTCCTGACTCCTTTTCCCTCTTCCTTTCTCTGTCGCGATTCTGCCTCGGAGCGGCCGAGCGGGAGGCGACAGCAGCTCGTTCTCCCGCCGCGGATCGCTTGGTGTGGAAACGAGCAGCAGCGAAAAGCGACCAAGTTTAAACCACCTCAGCCCACCCTCATGGCCTTTATTTGCTTCCAGAGAGCTTAAATGTTGTAGCAGAGAGGCCACGAGGAGCAAGATAACCTTGGTGCGTTTAAAAAACCACAAAGAAAACCACCCCCCAACGCGAATCCATTCCCTCCTCCCCTCCACATCCCATTGAAACTTCCAGCCGTGTAAGTAGCAGGCACTCAAGGTATTGTTATAAAACCTCTTCTCCTAACAAAATTTAGACAGCAAAGTTTGGGTTTTTTTTAAAAAAATGTACTTTTGTGTAGATGTCGCTTGCATCGCCTTGTCTAGAGCGAAGCTCTTTTCTAAGTAGGTTTTTTGTTTTGTTTTTATTTTAATCGCACTTTATTATATTAAGCAGAAAGGGCATTTGGAATAGAGGTGGTCCCATCTGGAAAACCCCGGAGCTCATTTAGATCACATCACTTCGGGCTTTTGTCTCTGCTCTTGAATAACCCAGCTAGACACAACAAAAGGGCAGAGATCTCTCTACGTGGAGTTTTTTCAGTAGCAAAAGGACGCCTCGGAAAGATGCTTCTATATTCGTAATAATGAGAGGGGAAACGACTCAACGGGATCTTCTCTTGGCTCTCGAAAGACACCAGGAGAGTTCAGGGATGGGGCATTTTTTGATAGTTTTTTACCCCATCGGTAGCTGAAAACCAGCACGCCGGCTAAAGGGAAGGAACCGAGAACGGCACCTTTTGTCTGATGGAGGTCTCTTAAATTCTCAGTTTAATATGCTCGGAGCGATCCAAACGCGAGGTGGTCCTCGCCGAAGGTACGTGCAGACCTTAGCCGGGAGGCGCGGATACCCCCGCGGGGGGAAGGCTGCCCGCCAGCCCCCCCGGCATCACTCACCCGATAGAAACAGCACCTCGGAAAAAAAAAAGCGATTTATAATTTTATTTTTTCCTACGGGAAGGGAAGGGACTGGCAGCTCGGGAGGAGATGGGCGCTCCCTAACCCTCTATTCAGCTCTTCAGAACACGAGGGTGGTTATTTCTGTTCTGCCTGAGGATGGGGTGGCAGGGAGGAAGAGAGCTGCAAGTTTAGGTGTACATGAAGTAACACCCCAGGGGGTGGTGGACTGTGGGGGGGAAAGATCCCAAACGAAAAAAGCCGCCTCAGCTATTGAATTTTTTTTTTTCCAAATGCATAAATTAAAGAGCTCTGAACATCTTGCATCAGAAATGTGCCTGCTCCGAAGTGTTTAAACGAGCAACAAATTTCCACGGTGGCGAAGCAGGGCCCCAGTCGGGCTGTGATGGGGAGCAGGGATCCCAAACTTCCAAGAGAAACGTGACGAAGAGTCATCACGTCAGTAAATAATTCAATTTTGCGTCTTTCAGAACCCAGTAACCTTGGGTGTCTTAGA